CTTTATAATAATCTGTGACTTGGATTATGGATGGGAGGGCCCACAGATAGGGCATAAACTTAAATCTGAAGTTTGGGGCAATGAATTAGAGAGTGTACTTGCTGTTGAATTGTCGATAGAAAAGTCTTCTTTTTAAAAAGCTGTTTTTCTAGTTGAATACAGAGTGAAACTTCCACGTCCTTGTTGGGTCTGTCCAGGAGGTCTCTTGCATCAGAGTGGATGTCTACATTTTGTCTCTGTCTTGTTTTATTATGAGGTGTTATGGTTGTGGGGGGGTGGATCGAGGCAGCGGGAGGGATCCCTGCTTTGTTTTTTTAGAGGAAATGTTTAGTGTTTATCAGATGTCTATTGTAGTTGTAGATGGAAAAGCTTGTGAGGAAACAAACACCACATGGAGCTTGTAAATGTTTTTGCACAACCTGTAAAGCATTCTTGGAAGTGGCCAGTAAAAAAGGGGGTTTTACCGTTTTTTAAAAATGTAACTGTGTCATTGTTTACATCTGTAACTCTTTCCCTGTTCTCATTACACCATTCTGGCAACAAATGTAGGCACAGTAGTTCCAGTTTTAGAATAAATAATCATTTGGATTGAATTTTCCTATCCTGTGGCTGCACTGACTTGAGTGATCATGGAGGTGTTTAATTTTTTTAAAACGTTTATTTTGAGACAGAATCTCATTGTAGCCCAGACTGGACTGGAACTCTAGATCATCCTGCCTTAAACCCCTGAATGCTCATTCATACATGTTTGTCACCACACCCAGCTTACTCACCTATTTTAATTGTCGGTGTGTGCACAGACGTGCATAGAGAATTGATGATGGGAAGGGGTTCATGCAAGGGGTCAGAGGACAACTTTGTGAAGTCTTTATCCTGCCTTTATGTAAGTTCCAAGGATCAGACCCAGAGCTGTCTTACCAGTCCCTTCTTTTTTTTTTTTTTTTGTTTTTTTCTTAAAAACTCTGTTAGTCGTAGAACTCTCTTTGTAGACCAGGCTGTCCTGGAACTCATTAAAATCTGCCTGTCTCTATCTCCAGAGCACTGATATAAAAGGTGTGCGTCACCACTGCCAGGCTTTTTTTTTCTTTTTAATGTGTAGTTAATAAGATGTACTATGTGCAACCAAGAATAACTTCTGTGTTATATGACTGCTGTGCCCTTTTTTATAATGCCTTCACCTGGGAACCATCTATGCAGGGATCTGTCTACCTAGTGTGTGCTTAGAGAAACATCCTTTTTTACTATTGTTTTGTTTTTTTGTTTTTTGGTTTTTTTTTTTTTTTTCTTCGAAACAGGGTTTCTCTATGGCTTTGGAGGCTGTCCTGGAACTCGCTCTGTAGACCAGGCTGGCCTCGAACTCACAGGGATCCACCTGCCTCTGCCTCCCGAGTGCTAGGATTAAAGGCATGCGCCACCAATGCCCAGCCCTTTTTTACTATTGTAATTTTCTTTATGTGTATGAGTGTTTGCCTGCATCTAAGTCCACCCATTACCTGTTTGCCTATGGAGGCTATTAAAGGGCATTGGAGCCTCTGGAACTGGAGTAACTCACGGTTCCATGGGAGTACTAGAACTGAATCCTAGTCCTTTGCAAGTAATCCTAACCACTGAGCCATCTCTCTGTCCCTCTTATACTAAGATCTAGAGCCATTAGAGTAGAAAATTTAACTCTTGGGCTCTGCTAAAATCAATTGGCTGTTTGCAGTTAAATGAAAGATTCCATTTATGAAAGCCATTAAGTTTATGCACAAATAATTATTACCTAAGAAAAACCTTCATTTTTGTAGTAAAATTGAAGAAGGAAAGTTACGAAAACACCCCAATGCTAGTACTGAACAGACAGGGCTTAATGTTTATGTCCTACGGACAGCAGTCAAACTCATTGCCTCACGTGTGTCACTGGAACTTTTTTGCTTTTTAAAATATATATATACGGTGTTCTGCCAGCATGTATGCCTACCAGACGGGGACACCGTATCTCATTACACATGGTTGTGAACCAGCATGTGGTTGCTGGAATTGAATTCAGGACCTCTAGAAGAACAGCCAATGAACTTTTATCCTCTGAGCCATCTCTCCAGCCCTTGTTTTGGTCTTTTAAAACAGTGTATTACCTATTGTAGCCTAGGCTGCAATCACACGAATCCCACTAGGATTTTTGGGTTTTTTTAGCTGTTAATTTTGTATGTGGGGGCACACATGTGCCACAGGACATCTGTGAAGATCAGGATGATTTGGCGGAGTTCTTTATCCCACCATGTAGGTAGGTCCCAAGGATTGGACTCAAGTCATCAGGCTTAATGGCAGGTACTTCTACCATCTGAACCATTATAATTAGTGCACAGCTGGGCATGATAGCACTTGCTTTTGTCCTAAGACGAGATAGTCCAAGGCAGGAGCATTGCTGTGAATTCAGAGCCATTTACATACCAGATCAGCCTGGGCTATAGAGCAATACCCTTGTTTCAAAAAACAAACCAAAAACAGCCAGATGTAGTGGTATACCTATGTTATCCTGATACTTGGGAGTTGGAGGCAGGAGGATCACAAACAAAGACCCTATCTCAAAAAAACTACATGGTCTACCCCTTGGCCTGCTTTTTTGAAAGTGATGTTTATGCATGTTTTGCCTGCACATGTGTATATGCCATGTGTGTGCCTGGTGCATGCAGACCAAGAAGACAGTGCTGAATGCTCTTGAACTAGAGTTAAGGTCAATTGTAAGCCGTCCTGTGGGTGCTGAGAACTAAACCTGGGTTCTCTGTAGAACAACAGCTGCTCATAACCACTGAACCATCTCTTCTAGCCCCATCCCAATTACTTTTAGTGGGTATAGTTCACACCTTGTCTGTAGGACTGCTAGCCCTGTTTTCTACTCAGCCAGATATGCCCCATGGTTTGAACAGATATTGAGTAGGAAAGTAAGCTGGGTTTTTAGGGGGTAAAGGAGAGTTGCCAGTTATTCTATCAATGTTACATCTTGAGCGCCTTTGGCCACATCTTACCTGATTAGATTTTCTTATTACCCTGGTATTTGCCAGCACTGATACAGCAAGAAATGGATTTTTAGTCTAAACCCTGTGTACAGTGTAAGTGTATACAAATAGAGAAAACCATTCATTATGTATTAAGAACCTATTGCATACAAGGCATTGTGAACACACAGGTATCTTAACAAGGATCCTTCCTGAAGTTTAAGAAATAAAAATTCTAAAATATGGAAAGTGTTGTGGTATGTGTGTGCAGGCATACTCGGGAGGTCAAAGAACAACTCTGAGTTCTTTCCCACCACTTTGTTGGGTCTAGGGATGGACCTCAGGTCATCGTGCCTGCAGTCAGTCACCTTTACCTGTTCAGCCATTTGGTCAGGACACCAGGGAATCTGCCTGTCACTATCCCTACCCTACTTTGGTTTCTTTATTCCTCTCACTGTCATCTTGGGAGAGGACAAGATTTAGGGAAAATGGGATTTGAGAGTGATGGACTGTCCTGAAAACATACAGGCCAAGCCATGCATTAGCGCACGCCTTTAATCCCAGCACTCTGGAGACAGAGGCAGGTGGATCTCTTGAGTTTGAGGCCAGCCTGGTCTACAGATCAAATTCCAGGACAGTCTCTAAAACAATACAGAGAAACCCTGTCTCGAAAAACAATAACAGCCGGGCGTTGGTGGCGCACGCCTTTAATCCCAGCACTCGGGAGGCAGAGGCAGGTGGATCTCTGTGAGTTCGAGGCCAGCCTGGTCTACAGAGTGAGTTCCAGGACAGCCTCCAAAACAATACAGAGAAACCCTGTCTCGAAAAACCAAAAAAGAAAAACAATTAACAACAAAACCCACAAAAGATACAGGTCATTCTGGGCAGCCCAGTTACATATATGCACTGGACTAATTGCCTTCCTACACAGAAAGAATGTGTCCTGGAGTTAGGAGATCATGATCCATGAATAAAGACAACTGGGACTGTTAATGGTGGTCCAGGATGCAATAGTCTATGTTCATTCTTCACACAAGCTTCTGGCAGGTACTCTGGGTCTCCTAAAGACCTGCTCAGTTGCTCAGGAGATATGTATGATCTCAAGCCAGGATAAAGGTGCACACCAGGCTGTACTCTTTTGTTGTTTGTTTTGTTCTGTTGGTTTTTTGTTTGTTTTTCGAGACAGGGTTTCTCTGTGGCTTTGGAGGCTGTCCTGGAACTCACTTTGTAGACCAGGCTGGCCTCGAACTCACAGAGATCCGCCTGCCTCTGCCTCCCGAGTGCTGGGATTAAAGGCGTGCGCCACCAACGCCCGGCTTCACGACCACTTCTTAATAGATACTTTTCAGTCATTTTGAGGAGAAAGTGAAAAAGCTCCAACAGGGAAACTGGGGCGGGTGGTGCCTGCATACAACTTTAATCCCAGCCCTCGCAAGGCAGAGGCAGGAGGATCTCTGAATTTGAAGTCAGCCTGGTACACAGAGCTACACACAAAAACCCTGTCTCGAAAACCAGCAAAAGAAAACAAAGACATTTATTGCTTATTTAGCTCTCGGAGAGACTAAGGAACTGTACTCCAAGATGGATTGTGTCACGTATTTGTATTCTTGCAAATAATCCCTCAAAGGGAACCTCTACTTGGGAAGATGTAAAAATCGAGATTCTTTTGCAAAATCCTCAGTGTGCTCTTTGGGCCCCCGGTGCTCCTAAGAATGTCGAGTTCCAGACTCTGACTTCGAGAGGGCAGGGGCAGCCATTTTACGACCAGAAGATCTCGTAGGGGATCTTTCCACGTTGGGAACACTGGGGGCCGCCATTTTAAGAGCAGTGCTGTACGGCACCTTACGCGCGCCGCCGTGAGGGTACGCACAGGCAGCTGCCATCTTGGCCAGCGCGTGCCGCGGCTGCCGTCCCGTGCGCCGGGTGGCCCTGTGTCGCCCCTCCGCTCCTCAGGGCACCTCCACCCGGGGCTGCTGTCTCTGCCCGCGGAAACCCACCCTTCGGTCTGCGTAGTTCTCGCTGCTTTCGTAGCGTGCCTGTGCGAATGCTCGCAGCTTCTAAGCGCTCGTTTTAACAACCTCCCACTGGGGGCGCTCGCGCGCCTCGTACCCCGCCATCTCCTGCCTTACAATGTCTAACCCGCTGGACTGGCCCTGTTCCCTGGATATGGCAAGTGTATCGACTAAGGATCCTCTTTCCCAAGAACGCTAACACAGGCGCTGTCCTCTGAGGCTCTGCATGACTTTATTCTTCAAATGCCTTTTCCTTTCCAATAGCTCCAGGTGAGACTGAGGACAAGCACCCGGGCATCCCCCTCTCCATTGCCTGAACGGATCACAGAGGGCATCAGGCAGGATTCTGGCACGTTAGCGGGGTCCCTCTGGATGGAGTAAAAGATGCTTGCAGTTGGCCTCAGGGTGAGGAGATGGGGTAGGTAGGGGTAAGGAGGGCTTGTGCTTGAGCTAATCTCATGATAGATAAGGGTAGACGAGCTGCTACAATTTCCTATCTAAGGGCGCGTCTCGGAGGGGGAGATAAGTTCAGAGGAGAGCACAGAAGAACTTCTTCTCCCGGAAGGGGTTTTCCGAAGTGGGCACAGGGGTGATGAGGGGATCCTCACAGGCGTGGGCATCACAGTAAGTCATCAGGTCTGCTGCTGCCTTGGACACCTGGGGCACAGCCAAGAGGGGAAACGTTAGCCAGAATTCCTGAAGGGACTACAGCTCCCTTCGCCAAACAGGCTGTCTTTTAGTTTCTAGTGCCCTTTGAGACAGTCCGTCCCCCGTCCCCACAGTCCTCGGGAACAGCTTTGCTGACAATGCCCAGTTTCCTCCTCTGACCTCAGGGTGTCTAGAAAAGAAGCATCTTTTTTCCGGGGTTTGAAACCCTACAGCTGAGGCCTGGAGAACTAATGGGAGTCAGGGTCGCACCCACCTTTATCCGGCACAAGCTGGCCTCGATCTTAAGCTGTTCCACCATCTTGCGTGCTTGGCCAATACTCATGGTGCTGTTCACAGGGGTCTCCCCTTTCATCCTGGAGGGAAGGCAGACACCTCAGTGCTCTCCGCTGAAGCTCTCAGCGTACTACCTCCACTCTCCAGTGGACACCCCATCTCTGTTTCTCAGTGGGGAGAATGGAGGAGAGATGAAAATCTCTCCAAATCCCTGGGTCCCAGTCACCCAGACATACACAGTCTGTGACCAAGTATGTTTCCAGCAGTGAAAGCCTCAGTCAGAACGAGCCCCACCCTGATGAAATCGCATCTGCTACCTGTCCCCATAAGCCCTAATGAGAGAGAAACAGGCTGCTCTCTACTCACCTGAAATGACAGGAGGCGGCGGCGGCCTGGGATGGAGGGTCAGTGGGGCGGGGGCGGCAGACCTGCCTCAGATAAGAGCCCCACCCTGCGGAGACTTGCAGCTAAAAATATCTGTAGCAGTGACAGCTAATGCAGAGAAGGTCACCAGGGATGCGCAGACTGAGGTCCTTGGAAAGGTGGTCTCGGCTATTGCAGCTCAGGCACGGTCCAGATGGCTGGTACCTGAAGGATGAAGGATGCTAGAAGGAGCCGCTCAGACTCTGGAGCGTACCAACTGCCCGGCCAGTGGGGGAGGTCTGGCTGCTCTTTGCATCCCCTGTGCACACCCCCACTGTTACTGTCTCACTACCTGCCCCTGCCCATTGTAGAAGTCCTCCCCAAAGGACCCGAGGAAGGAAGCAGGCGCCCCTCCTTAAGTGGGGTGGTCTGCCTGCCACAGCCCCTGCAGTAGAGTCGGTACCCGCTGTGGGAGACCCTGCTCATTTGAAAATCTGACATCAGCTGGGCTGCTGCCCGCCCCCTCACACACACCCTGACACAGCACTCAGCACCTGAATCTTCGTTTCTTTCAGGGACCCTCCCTCCATTCTGCAGATCCAGGACAGTGTGATGCTCTCCAGGTGATCAGCTTCTGGATCACCACTTCCTAGTCTGGAGAGGGGAGACCCAGGGGCAGCAGGGGTGACCATCAGGAAGATATCTAAAGAAATGATACAGCAAAGAAGAGAAGCTGGGGGGAAACAGACTTGCAAAGACCAGATCAAGAAAGGATCAGATAAAGAGGAGGTAAGGGCGCACGGGAGCTCGTGCGAACACTATTAACGCAGGTGGGCTGCTCGGAGTGGGGAGTAGGGCGCCAGGCGGTGGGGTTGGGGAGGTAGGGAATTGACTAGAAATTTTTCGCCTAAGTTGAGTAGACTGCTTACTACTATTGAAAAAGACCTCCTGGAGGACATAGTCTACAAGATGCCACCTTCAGAGACCTAGTCTCATTTTTGTAGGGATTCTGAAGTTGACTGCGTCACGCGGGTCACAGAAGGTCGATCATGCAGCATAAAAACTGGAGACTGAAAGGCCCCACGCTTGACCAGCCCGCGGACAGGACAGCAAGCCATCTGCGCAACACACAAGATTCGGGTTCTGGCAGGGTGCAAGCTTCTCAGGGCGAACGAGTCCCTTCCCCTCCACTCCCCTTGGATGCCTACAGGCTCAAGGAGCGATGCTGAATAAAAATACCCATTTCGCCACCTCCACCCCGCCCACACTGGATCCCTTTCTGGGGTGAAAAGGCATGTGTTGAAGGTTTCGGCGAGGGCCTTGAGAGGAGGACCAAGGGACACTGCTGAGTGGGGTCCGGAGGGGGAGCGCGTTGTCCTTTGGTCGCCGAACTGGAGTGTAATGATCTGGCTGGGACAGTGGGAGCTGGGCGGCTCACAGGCCCCGCCCCTGCGCAAGGGCCCCGCCCCTGCACGAGCCCTTCCCTGCGCTTAACTGGCGACTGACAGAAGGGGCGGGGCTTTCTCGGCCGCCGGAACTCCCTTCTCTAGGTTGCTTGGGCAGCCTGAGACTGGTGAGTCGGCCACCTGCCTCGCTGTGGTGGCCGGCGGTGTCCACCGCGTTCCCGCAGCGGTGGGCGCCCTGTCAGCGTCGCTCCGCAGTTGGGCCGCAGGGCGGGGTAGGGATCACACCCTCGGTGAGCGAGCACAGGTCCAGGCGGAGGGGGAGAAACTCCGGAGGCTGTTCCACCCTAGGCAAGTCACTCATCTTGCAATTCCTGGCATTCAAGTTCCATGTCATCTGTGCTTTGGTAGAGTTTTAAGGTTCTCGTTCTGTGTAAGAATAATGCTGTGAGTGTATTGGAGGTTTTTCGCGAGCTCCGGGGACTGAAGGAAACTCAGTGGAGGAAGGTGAAGGAGTACTTGGAAGAGAAAATGCATGTGAAACAATGACTGTCCTGTCTCTCCAGTTCCTCAAAGCCAGTTTAATGAGTTGTCTTTTGTTTTGTTTTGTTTTCTATTGTCTCAACTCCCTGGGGGGGAAAAATAGCTTTTTTTTTTTTTTTTTTTTTTGAGACAGCTCTGTGGCTTTGGAGGCTGTCCTGGAACTCGCTCTGTAGACCAGGCTGGCCTCGAACTCACAGAGATCCGTCTGCCTCTGCCTCCCGAGTGCTGGGATCAAAGGCGTGCGCCACCAACGCCCGGCTAAAAATAGCTATTTTTTTCCCCCTCCTCTTTCTGCAGGAACCTCCAGCCACCCTATCCCATGGCCAAGGGTATCGTCCCTGTGGAAGACCAGGCAGGAATTCAAAGCCTGAAGCTGGGGCTAGATCCTCTGCTGTCCCCATCATGGTCAATGACCCACCAGTACCTGCCTTCCTGTGGGCCCAGGAAGTAGGCCACGTCTTGGCAGGCCGGGCCCGCAGGCTGTTGCTGCAGTTTGCTGTGCTCTTCTGCACCGTCCTCCTGTTGCTCTGGGTGTCTGTGTTCCTCTATGGCTCTTTCTACTACTCCTACATGCCAACCGTCAGCCACCTCAGCCCCGTGTATTTCCACTACAGGTGAGAAGACTGCTCCATTGAAGTTGAAAATTACTCCAAGGACTCCTGGGCTCAAGGACTCTGTCCAGTCCCATTATTGATAGAGGATGAAATCTTACCCCAGTGTGTTAACAGGACTTCTCACCTCAAAAGCCAAGGCTGGAGCAGGTCTGGGCTGGCAGGGCCATAGGGTTCTAGATCTACCTGTGCTGCAAAATTCTGATTAGAAACCTAGAAAAAGAGCCTGGTCACACCTGTAATTCCAGCGCTCGGGAGGCTGAATTGGGAGGATTATCATGAGTTCCAAGCTAGCCTGGGCTACAGGTTGAGACCTTGTCTCAAAAGAATTTTTTAAAAAGACACTTTTAGAATCTAGTAGCTAAAGTCTGCTCCGTATAGGTTGCATAAAACCTTTTAAGCCACTGTAGAGCTTCCAACCTACTCAACCCCTTGGGCATCTAGCAGTTCCCCTGGCTTTTAGCTCAGGAGGTATTGGGAAATAGCTCCTTTGCCTTTTAGTTTACTTGTGCTTACTCACCATGGTCTGCACAGAACAAGATAACTACCTCCTAGAGTCCTGCTTCAGGCCTAGCCTCCGAGTTCATTCCCACTGTATTCATGCTGCCAGATTCTCTCTGTGCCCCAACAGATACAGAAAGCAGTTTTAGTTTCATCTTTGTTTCCCTGTCCCTAATCCCTAGTCATGTGCTCTCATTTTTAAGGTAGATCTTAAACATTTAGGGAACATGATTCTTATACATGTTGTAATTTAAGAAATGCAGCACTCAGCCGGGCGTTGGTGGAGCACGCCTTTAATCCCAGCATGGGAGGCAGAGGCAGGCGGATCTCTGTGAGTTCGAGGCCAGCCTGGTCTACAAGAGCTAGTTCCAGGACAGCTTCCAAAGCCACAGAGAAACCCTGCCTCGAAAATCAAAAAAAAGGGGGGGGGGAGGGAAGGAGGGAGACTGGCCTCCAAAGACAGGAGCAGCAGGAGACAGGAAAAAGGGGAGAGAGAAGGATGGGAGGCGAGCAGGGCTCTTTGAAGAGGGAAAATAGTGAATGTGCTCTTAGTGGCTGCAGCTGATGATGTACCCTGCCTCTCCTCCCGAGTGCTGGGATTAAAGGTGTGTGCCACCACTGCCTGGAGGAAGCCTTTTTTTTGATATTTGAATCTCTTGGCCACATTTGTTCTCCATTTCTCTGTAATGGAGAATATAGGATGGATGACAGGAGGGAGCTCTAGAGACCAGGTGTGGGCAGGCAGGCAAAGCAGGCTCTGTAACTTCACAAAGTATCATTCATCCCTTCTCATTTAGGACAGACTGTGAGTCCTCTGCCGCCTCACTCTGCTCCTTCCCTGTTGCCAATGTCTCGCTGGCTAAGAGTGGACGTGATCGGGTGAGTATGAGAGCCAGAACCAGGAAAGCTTTGATGACATGAGAAAGATGTGGAGAGCAGAGACTGAGCAACAGATGTAAAAGGAAGGTTCTGAAGCAAGCGGAGCTTGAAAAGAAAATCACTGTGACACATACCTGTAATCCCAGCACTAGGGGGGAAAGGCAAGGTTAATTCCAAATTTGAGACCAGCTTGGCCTGCATAGCCAGACCCTATTTCCTCCCAAAAAAGAAATTGGGGGTGGGGGGTGTCACAGTTGGCAGAGTACTTGCCTCATATGTATGAGGCTCTGAATTCAATCTCCAGTATCACATTAAAATCCAAATACTTATGTGTGCAACAGGCCTTAAGAGTGATTCTACCTTGCACTCATTACTTGAGTCATAGCTCCTGGATAAAGTCTTTGTTTTAGGCCCAAGTGAACAAATCAGCTAGTAGGAACAGCATGACATCCCCTCAAGTAATTGGAAGCTAATGTGTAAGGCCAGGCCAGGTGTAGTGGTCCATGACTTTCATTCTAGCACTTCTGAAACAGAGGCCAGCCTGATAATAATACACTGTGAATTCCATACTAGTCAGAGTTACATAGTGAGACCCTGCTATTTGTTTAAAAAAAAAAGCTACAAGGTTTTATACACACACACACACAAACCTATCTTGGAAAAATAAATAAATAAAAGATCAGCATTGCAGTGGTTGGCACACACCTTTAATACTAGGATTCTGGAGGCAGAGGCAGGCAATCTTTGTGAGTAAAATCCAGGCTGATCTACAAGAGCTAGTTCCAGGATAGGATCCAATGCTACACAGAGAAACCCTGTCTCAAAAAATCAAGTAAATAAATATATGAAAATGTGAAGATGGTTAACAAGTGTGTGTTACCTGTTGTCACAAAAGGTACTAAGCCAGAGGACTAACCAGATGCCAGTGTGACTGCAACAAACCTAGGAACTGTGACAAGTGTACACGGAGACAGCCTTCTCTACTTGGCAGGCTATGGATAGGATTCCAAGCTTAAAGGACCTGGACGATCGGTTTTTGTTTTTCGCTTTTTGTTTGTTTGTCTGTTTGTTTAGTTGGTTGTTTTTTTGAGACAGGGTTTCTCTCTGTAACAGTTCTGGCTGTCCTGGAACTCAGTTTATGGACCAGGCTGACCTTCAACTCACAGAGATCCACCTGTTTTCTGCCTTAAAGGTGTGCACCAGCACTCCCGGCTCGGTGTCAGTTTTGACTGCTTGAGTTTTTTTAGTTGTCAACTTGAAAGTTACTTTTAAACCAGGCACTGGTGGTGCATGCCTTTAATCCTAGCACTGGGAGGCAGAGGCAGGTGGATCTCTGAGTACAAGGCCAACGTGGTCTATAGAGCGAGTTCCAGGACAGCCTCCAAAACAAAGAAACCCTGTCTCGAAAAACCAAAAAAAGCCGGGCGTTGGTGGTGCACGCCTTTAATCCCAGCACTCGGGAGGCAGAGGCAGGAGGATCTCTGTGAGTTCGAGACCAGCCTGGACTACCAAGTGAGTTCCAGGACAGCCTCCAAAGCCACAGAGAAACCCTGTCTCGAAAAACCAAAAAAAAAAAAAAAAAAAAAGAAAAGAAAAGAAAAGAAAAACCAAAAAAAAAGAAAGTTACTTGTAGAAGTGGTATTTAAGAATAAATTGACTTTATGATAGGGTGTCAGTTCTTGTACAGTGGCGCACATCTGTAATCACAAATATTTTGAGTTGACGTCAGAGGGTGTTTTTTGTTTGTTTCCTGAGACATGGTTTCACTGTGTATCCCTGGCTGTCCTGGAACTCTGCAGATCCACCTGCCTCTGTCTCCCAAGTACTGGAACAAAAGGTGTGTACTACCACTGCCTGCCAGAGGATGTCTCCTGGGCAAGGTAGTTCCAGGCCAGTCCATACTGATAGGCTGTCACACACACACAGAAAGGAGCCCATACTAGAGAGGTAGAGGCAAGAAGGTTAGCCTGGACTACGTTGGAAACAAACAAAAAATGGTTAGCCTGGGAGTTGTGATCACCCTGTCACAGCCTCCCACATGCTGGAATTAAAGGCCTACAGTACCAGTCCAGCCTGGAAGCCGGGGATCTCAAAGTTGCCTTTTCCTCCTAAGTGCTGGGATTATAAGTAAGTGTGTAACACAATGCCAAGACTGGATATATTTTTTTCTTTTTTTCTTTTTTCTTTTCTTTTTTTTTTTTTTTTTTGGTTTTTTGAGACAGGGTTTCTCTGTATTGTTTTGGAGGCTGTCCTGGAACTAGCTCTGTAGACCAGGCTGGCCTCGAACTCACAGAGATCCGCCTGCCTCTGCCTCCCGAGTGTTGGGATCAAAGGCGTGCACCACCACCGCCCGGGGGGACAGCTTCTAGTTGCTTTTCTTAAGAGGATTATTGAGAAAAAAAATTATATAATATACAGTTTACCTCTGTAATTTATATAATATATAGTTTACCTCTTAAGATATGCAGTTTTATCACTCTTTTTTATTTGTTTACTTTGAGATGGAGTTTCACCATGTAGCCTTGGATAGCCTAGAACTTGCTATGTAGATCAGGCTGACCTTGAATTCATAAAGACCCACCTGCCTCTAGCCTCCAGAATTCTGGGATGAAATACATGCACTGCCATGCCAGGAATTGTATCATTTTTAATAAATTCAGTATTGTGCCAGGCGGGCACTTTAGTCCCAGCACTCGGGAGGCAGAGGCAGGCAAATATCTGTGAGTTCAAGACCAGCCTGGTCTACAAGAGCTAGTTCCAGGACAGCCTACAAAGCCACAGAGAACCCCTGTCTCTGAAAATAAATAAATAGATAGATAGGTATATGGATGGATTCAGTGTTGTACACACAGATAAATTTAATGTTTTTAATTAAATTACTCTGGATAAGATGATCTGCCACTATAGTGATTGTGTAAGAGCTGGCTAGGGAGGCAGAGCAGCACTTGCTTAATTAGTGAGGGCAGGCTGGGCCCAGGGGGACAGCTCCAGCAGCACACAGGCCTGAGTCACAGACGGCCCAGTTGGCAATGTGACTGTTCACTTTTGTAAAAGAAATGCAACAGGGATCTTTTCCGAACAATGGAGTACTCTGACTCAGACGTAGGAGCTAACTGGCTGAGTGTGGTGGTTCATGCTCAAAATTTTAGCACCAGAGGCTGAGGCAGGAGAAGTTCCATGAATTTGAGGCTATATGGTAAGTGCTAAGCCAGCCAAAGATACATAGCAAGGCCCTGTCTTAAAACAGGGCTCCCAGCTGTGCAATGGTAACACACCCATTTATTCCCAGCTCTTGGGAGGCAGAGGCAGGTGGAGCTCTTGTGAGTTCAAGACCAGCCTGGTCTACAGAGTGAGTTCCAGGACAGCTAAGGCTATACAGAGAAACCCTGTCTCAAGAGAAGAAAAAAACAAACAAGCCAGGCATCGTGGTACACACCTTTTCTCCTAGCACTGGGGAGGCAGAGGCAGTCAAATCTCTGAATTTGAGGCCAACCTGATCTACAGAGTGAGTTCCAGGCCAGGCAGAGCTACAGAGTGACATCCTGTCTCGAAACACTACAAATTTTTTTAAAGAAGATGGGTGTTGTTATCTTGGGCAGGTGCTGATGTACGGACAACCATATCGAGTCACCCTAGAGCTTGAAATGCCAGAATCCCCTGTGAATCAAGATTTGGGCATGTTCTTAGTCACTGTTTCATGCTATACCCGAGGTGGCCGAGTCATCTCTACATCTTCCCGCTCGGTAAGTGCGTGAGGACAACCAGGAAGTGGTGCACAGTGGTGGGACAGTCAGCAGGCATGGCCAGTGCTTCAGGAGAAGACCTCCTTGTCTCAAGATCAGGCCCCAGCCAGGACAAGAAGAACCCGATTAACAGGCCAGACATTGGCCAAACAACTAGAGAAGTCTGAAGAGTTCAACTGTTCTCAGAACAAGTAGACACCAGAAACATAATAGCTTTGATTGCTAGAGTTTTATGATGACCTTCCTCTTAGACTAGGAAAGAAATGCAGGGTTCTTATTAGCATGTGGTGGACACACATTCAGCACTGGACCCCATTTAAAATCACATTATGAATATCTGCATTCGAGGGCAGCTTCAGGGGTGTATTGGTACATGGATCCTAAACCAGACTACAGACTGGGGGGTGCACATGAGAGCAGACTGCTTACCTGAGGCAGGTGTTTTAGAGAAGGGCACTTGGATGTATTAGAATGGAGAAATGAGGGTAGTAGGGAGACGTTACTGAAATAGATGGAATGGTTGGGAGGGCTGGGAGTTAGGAAGGGAAGGTAAAGGAGCAGGGGCCCCAGCTGCTTACATGGACTGCTCAAGCATGGGGCAGACTGGAGAAAACACCTGTCTCCAACTTTCCTTTATGGCCGTCAGGTGATGCTGCATTACCGATCCCAGCTGCTCCAGATACTTGACACACTGGTGTTCTCCAGCCTCCTGCTCTTTGGCTTTGCTGAGCAGAAGCAGCTCCTGGAGGTAGAACTCTACTCCGACTATAGGGAGAATTCGGTAAGTGGGGTGGTGGGATAGGAGATAATCCTCCATTTGGCCCAAGATTGTACCTGAGAAGCCCATGGGCAGCCGGCTGCAATAGCCACACAGGCTGGAGGTAGGGAGAAGAGCAGACCGTGCCCTCTCCCCCCCCATGCAGTATGTGCCAACAACTGGAGCGGTTATCGAGATCCACAGCAAGCGCGTCCAGCTGTACGGAGCTTCCCTCCGCATTCATGCCCACTTCACTGGGCTCAGGTGAGAAACCACGGGAGGAAATCCGGCGGCTTTCCTGCAACCTGCCCCACAATGAAGAGAGTTCCAGGCAGAGATGACATCATGTTTGACAGAAGCCAGAGGCTCTCTCCACCCTAGTTTGACAATGTGTATCAGCTTTCAAAAGAGCTTCTTAGTAGGCCAGTGGTGGCACACACCTTTAATCCCAGCATTTGGGAGGCAGAGGCAGGTGGATCTCTGTGAGTTGGAGACAGCCAGGGCTACACAGAGAAACCCTGTTTCAGAAACAAAATTTTTTAAAGTTTGTTTTGTGATGAGTGTTTTGCCTGCATGTATGTATGTATGTGTACCACATGTGTGCCTGGTGGCTGAGGAGGTGGGAGCTTCCACGTGGGTACTGGGAATTGAACCTGGATCCTTTCCAAGGACAGCAAGTCCTCCTAACCACTGAACCAACTCTCCAGCCCCTTTTTTTAATATCCCATATGACACACCCTGTCATTACAGCACTAGGAGGCTGAAGGCAAGAAATCTTGCACTACAAAGCAAGACTCTCAACATAAATAATGAAAAGAAAATAAAAAGATTCTATGAGCCAGGTGCAGTGCTCTGTGTCTAGTCCCTGCTACTCAGGCAACATAGTAAAATCCACATACATCACCACCCACCCACCCACCCGGCCCTAATTTAAAAAAAAAAAGTAATCTAACTGCACACTGCAGGGATAGAGGTTAGTGCTCACTCAAGTTGTCCTACAAATATTTCTGCAGGGATAGAGGTTAGTGCTCACTCAAGTTGTCCTACAAATATTTCTGCAGGGATAGAGGTTAGTGCTCACTCAAGTTGTCCTACAAATATTTCTGCAGGGATAGAGGTTAGTGCTCACTCAAGTTGTCCTACAAATATTTCTGCAGGGATAGAGGTTAGTGCTCACTCAAGTTGTCCTACAAATATTTCTGCAGGGATAGAGGTTAGTGCTGTCTAGTGACTGCTACGCCCTTCCTGGCCCTGTTTCCCGCCTCAGGTACCTGCTGTACAACTTCCCTATGACCTGCGCCTTTGTGGGTGTCGCCAGCAACTTCACATTCCTCAGCGTCATCGTGCTCTTCAGCTATATGCAGTGGGTGTGGGGGGGCATCTGGCCCCAACACCGCTTCTCTTTGCAGGTCCGCAGGGGCAGAGACCCTACTTTTCTTCCTTGGGGGTCCTTGCTGGGGTCAGGGGCATGTTAGGAGTGGGGCATGGTTCCTGCACAGGGGAGGCTGGCTTCACTGCTTGGTGGCTACTCCTCCACAGGTTAATATCCGACAAAGGGATAGCTCGAGACACGGTGCCCAGCATCGGATCTCTCGCCATCAGCCAGGTAAAGGGGTTGGTTGAGAGATAGTTTGGCTGGGTTAGAGGGACTGCCTGCCTCCAGTATAGGGTATAGGCGACCCTGAAGCTGAGAGTGTAAGGAAAGGCTGAAGGAGGTAGAGTTGTGCAAGCCAAGCACAACCGCTGAGCCTTGCTGTCCTCTTTTACCGGACCTGCAGGCCAGGAGTCTACGAAGCAGTCAGACATGACAGAGGATGCTGAGAGCCCGGAAGATCCTTCAGGAACAGGTAGGATGCAGTCCCTCTTCCTGGCTCCACCACAGCACTTCCCTTGAGTGCTTAAATGTCACACCTCTGTTCCCCTTTTGGCTGAAGAGGGCCAGCTGTCTGAGGAAGAGAAACCACCAGGGAAGCCCCTGATTGGAGAGGCGGAGCAAGAGCGGGAGGCTAGTGATGGTGAGGGCACCGTATAATGGAGTGAAGTGTGGGGGGTGCCACCCCATCCCTGTTAACCTGTCTCATTGGCAATTGTGTTTGGCCCTTTCCTGGCTCAGGTTCAGGCTCCTGGGAAGATGCAGCTTTGCTAACAGAGGCCAACCTGCCTACTTCTGCCTCTATCTCTGCCCTTGCCCCGGAGACGCTGGGTAGCCGTGAGCCTTCTCTGGGCACCATCAGGCAGCGTCCAACATGCTCCAGTTCCTGAACAGAAGATTCCTTACATTCCAGCACTTTCCCATCTGACCCTTCTCCCTTTGTTGTTCCCTTTAATAAACTATTTTGTGCCAGGTGCTTTTGTGACGGTCAGAGGACAAATTTCAGGGTCAGTTCTCTCCTTCCACCATACAGGGTCTGGGGAGTCAAAAGTGGCTCATGCAAGATTTTGTTTTGGTTTGTGTGTATGTGTGTGAATGAACCTACATAAACTATATGTGCACTACATGTGTGCAGGGCCCAAGGTCAGACCGGATGTCAGATTCCATGTAACTGGAGATACACACAGTTGTGGGCCACCATGTTGAGTCTGGGAGCTAAACCCAGGTCTTCTGTAAGACTAGGACACTCTCTTAACCACTAAGCCATCGTTCCAGCCCTGAGCATCCATTTCTTATTATTTGTTTTTGGTTTTCCAAAATAGGATCTGTCTGTGTAGCCCTGGCTATTCGAAAATTCACTCTGTAGACCAGGCTGGCCTCAAAATCAACAGAGATCCACTTGCTTCTGCCTCCTGAGTGCTGGGATTAAAGGCGTGCACCACCAGTGCCCGGCAGCTTACACTTCTATCCCTGCTAATGCAGAGGCCATGGAGGGGAGCTGTTAACTGGCTGGCTTCATCTGTCTTGTGCAGCCTGCTGTTTTGTAGAATCCAGGACATGAGCCTGGTGATGATCCCACTCACTGGGCCCCCCCCCCACCAGTCACTAATGAAGAAAATGCCTGACAGGGATCTTAGGGCGGCTTTTTCTCAGTTCAGGTTCCCTCCTCTCAGATAATTAGCTTGTGTGTCAAGTTGCCTTAAGACCAGCCAGCATAGACACCATGTCGGTGGTAGGATTTGAATGTAGATCTTCCTGGAAAAATAGCCTGTGCTCTTAACCACTGAGCATCTCTCTAGCCCCTGTATTGCTTTCTTTCACAGGACAATCTAAGAGCATCACACACTCGAAGAAGATTTATTTAGTTTATGATCTAATATCCCCAATTATACTCAATAAATTTTCGTGGTACTAAGTCAGTAAATGATAAGCACCTATACCCCAGCTACTAAGACAGGAATGTTGTTTCAGCCCTCTCTGTCTTCTCTCTCTCTCTCTCTCTCTCTCTCTCTCTCTCTCTCTCTCTCTCTCTCTCTCTCTCTCTCTCGTTTGTCTTTTTGTTTTGCTTTTTGAAACAGAGTTTCTCTGTGTAACCTTGGCTGTCCTGGAACTAGTTCTGTATACCAGGCTGGACTTGAACTCACAGAGCCTGCCTCTGGAGTGCTGGGATTAAAGCATGTGCCACCACTACCTGGCCTGGTTTCTTTCCTTTTTATATATTTTGAAACAGATTCTTGGAGGCTGGCCTCAAACTTTCAGCAGTTCTCCTGCCGTGGCATCCCAAGTACTGAGTTATAAGCTTGTACCACCTATGCAGATGTTTTATGACTTTGGTTTGTTCTCTGAGATAGTCTGTAACACAGGCTGTTTTCTAACATTCTGCCCCAGTGTCCCTAGGGCTGAGAAATTCCGGCTTGCACCACCACACTCAGTGCAGCTGTTCCCATCAGAAGTCTAGGCAGAAACCGTATCCTGGCCAGCAGTAGGCTCCCTGCTCTAGCCATGTGATTCTCTTCTCCCCAAGGGAGGGGACAGTGTAGGGCGGGTCTGGAGAGCGATACATCACTCTGGCCTTTGTACCCCTCCCTTCTCTGTCCATTGGGAGGCAGAAGACAGGAAATGACTGCCATGAACGTGGTAGGATTTTCACTAAAACAGCATTTTGTAATTCAGGCCTCATACTGTCCGCAGATGTTTTTCTGCCTAATACCAGCCAGGTGCCCTCCCCCTTGGCAATTCTCCCCCTGCCTCCTCATGACTGCAGCCTTTGGATTCTCAGTTCCTGGCTGCTCTCCACACTTCATTCCTGTCAGAACCCAGGCATCCTGGCCTCCAGCTGAAAGCACTGCATGTGGCTTCCCCTACCCCTGACCCCGTGACTCAGTGCCTCTGAGGGAACCAGCCCTTTTCTTGGCACTCAGGGGCTAGGTGGTGACATCAGAGTTGAGGGGTATAAAAGTTCTCAGTCAAAATAGAATTGAAGATACAACCTGACAGTGGCCTGTGACGGGACCTTTCCGCCTGATATCCACAGATGTTTGGAGGCAGATTCTCACTGTGTCAAGGCCTACCCACTGGTGAGAGGCTGCTGTGGGTCCCGGGAAGAGGGTGGACAGGAAGGATCCTGGATTGATTGGATAGCATTTGCACGAATTCAGATAGAGAATAAGGACTCCCATGCCTATCCCCGCCATTCTGTCTCTTCTGTCTCCTGACTTTGCGAGTGTGTGTGTGTGTGTGTGCACGCGTGCACGTGCCTGCATGTGTGCATGCGTATCTTACTAAGCACTGTTTTACATAGGTCAGGTCTCTGGGCAGCAACTGGTTCTTTGCACCTTTCTTCCTTGAGCTGAGTAAATCTGTTCCCTCCTCCTCTCCCCAGCACTTACTTTCGTTTATCCATCAGCTGCTTGCTTCTGGGCACTTTGCATGGTGCTGCCCAACATCTGTCTCTCATCTGTGGTGCTGCATTTCATTTTTATCCCAAACCAAGCACAATCAGGCCTAGTGACACACATTGTTAATCCTAGTGATTTGAGGAAATAGACGGGAGGACCAGGGGTTGGAGACAGCCTCAGACCAGTCCCTCCCCTCCCCAAAAAACCCACCCTGCATTCAGATCAGCTGACCGAATAACTGCATGCCTCAGTCCCACCTCTTTCCTTTGCCCATATTGATCCTATGTTGTGCTTTTCCCAGAGGTCTTGTTCTGGAAGGCACGGCAGGCAGCATTTACCCAATTCACTCCTTCCCTTCCAGGCTCCATGTTGGGCTCTCTTTACCTTCTGTGGCTTGTGGCTATGACCACCTCCTTGGTTTCTAAGGCTCAGGTCTTGACCCCCCAAGACTATGAGGAAGATGACGATGAGGCGGTAGCCACACCTTCCTTGGCTGTGCCTTGCGACTATGACCGTTGCCGCCACCTGCAGGTGCCCTGCAGGGAGCTGCAGAAGGCTGGGCCAGTAGCCTGTTTGTGCCCAGGGCTCTCCAGGGAAGATCGCCAGCCAGACCCTCCGCGGCTGGGAGAAGTGCACATTGTGGCTGAGGAAGGCTGCGCGGTTGTCCACTGGTGCGCTCCCTTCTCTCCCGTCAAGCACTACTGGCTTCTGCTTTGGGAAAGCAACGGGGCTCCACAAAAGAGTGGCCCCCTCAACGCAACAGTTCGAAGAGCAGAGCTGAAGGGACTGAAGCCTGGGGGTACTTACGTGCTTTGTGTGGTGGCTGCTAACGACGCTGGTGAAAGCCATGTTCCTGGAGCAGATGTTGAGGGTCCTGACAACTGGACTGACCCTTCCTTTGGGCCTTGTCGAAAGCTTATCATGCCGCCTAAACCGCTCACCCTGGTCTACGCAGCCATGGGAGTGGGCACAGCTCTGGCTCTGCTGAGCTGTGCCGCCCTGGTTTGGCATTTCTGCCTTCGTGAACGGTGTGGTTGCCCACGACGTCACGGTACAGCCCAAACTTCAGAAGCTCTCTGATGGGAGTCCCACCGACTAGAAACAACTCTGGTGCATTCCAGGCACATCTGGAGAGCCCAACCCACTCCCAGGAGGAGTATGGGGCCTGCTGCCACCTAGCACCAGCGGTAGAGCCAAGCCAGAGCAGAACCAGGCAATTGGCCATGGAACTGAGAGCCTGAGAGCTTGTTTAGTCCCTAACTAACTCATCACTATTTCCCCCTGAGGGCTAGGAAGGAGTAGCAATTATTTCTTGGGGGTCAGATGTAAATGTTTTAAGCTTTACGTGCTTGCGGGGGTAAAATAGCATATATCACATAGGTACTTATACATAGGCAGTTAAAACGGAGCTATTTAAGGCCCTGCATGGTGGTCTACATTTCTAATCCCAGCACTCTGGAAGGAGAGACAGGCAGATCTCTGAGTCCAGGGCAGCTTGAACTACATAGAAAATTCCAAGTCTACCCAGATTATATACTGAGACTGTCACTAGAATAAAATAAAACAAAAGCAAAAACTAACATCAGGGGCCTGGGGAGAGAGATGGTTTAGTAGTCAAGAGCACTAGCCTTTTCCAGAGGACCAGAGTTCTATTCCCAGCACTCACATAGCAGCTCACAATCATCTGTAACTCCATTTCCAGGGGACCCAATGTCTACTCCTGACCTCTGCCAACATAGGCACTCACATACATGCATACATTTATATATATGCAAAACACTCATACACATAAAATAAAAATAAATTTAAAAATGTTAACTGTCCATAGTTCATAAGCCTTCCATGGCAAGCAGCAGGTCAGGTTCTTCCTGTTGGCTGGACTTTGCCAATACAAGTCATACTTTCTCAAAGCTGCTCTGCAGCTGTGAGTGCCTACCACATATATTCTGAGAATAAGCTTCCTTCCTTGAGTAGGAGTTGAGACTGGAGCTCTGCCTTCTCCTACCTTTTGTTTGCTAAGGATGAGCCTGTTCAGAGTTCAACTGTGTCTGGGAGAACTGAGAATTAAGGATCAGCATGAGCTGGAGGAGACAGAAGGCCTAAGCTGCAGCCTACACAAGTTATCGTTTTTTATTAGTTATTAACAGTTTATACCAATGACTCCCCAAGTGTGTGTAACTGTTTATCCGCTGTAATAACATTAAAGGCAAATTAAAAGCATTGTATTTTCAGTTTTCATGATCATGTTTAATTTCATCACTTCTCAGCCTCCTGGCTAAGATCAAGTGTATTTTTCAAATATATATATGTGTGTGTGTATGTATGTATATATATATATATATCCTTTCGGTTTGTGTTTATTTGAGACAGGCTCTCACTGTGTAGCCCTTGCTGTGCTAAAACTCCCTCTGTAGACCCAGTAGGCTTGAAACTCACAGAGAGCTTCCTGCCTCTGTCTCCTGAGTGCTGAGATTAAAGACACACCTGGCTGTTTTGATGTTTGAGTCTGTCTCATAAAATAAGGTTGACCAATCTGCTACCTTCCACATAATACACCATGGCTTTGAATTTGTGATAATCCTCCTGCCTCAGCCTTCTGAGTACACATGCCAACTTCGAAATGTATTTATTACTTACAATTCTTAAGCTTCTATAAAGGTTTTGAATGCATGGCACATATGTGGAGGGCAGAGGACAACTTTCAGGGGTTGTTTCTGTACTCCTGCATTCCTCCCTGGAATGTGGGTTCCAGGGCTTAAACTCAGGTTGTAAACCTTGGCAGCAAGCTCCTTTACCTGCTGGGCCATCTCAAAAGCCCCTGGATTTATTTTTTTATCCCTCTCCCCATTTATTTTTTAAATTATGTGGATGTAGAAAAGTTTGTTACAAATTGTTACACAGTATAAACCTCACTTTTACTAATCTGATAACTCTTTGAGGTGTTGGAGTTGAATCCAGAGCCCTGGAAATGGTAGGCATGCATTCTACCTCTGAGCTATCTATATTCCCAGCAAGGCCATGGAGTTAATCTCCATGTGCACACTGTTCCAGGGCAGTAGCTATGCTGAGCTGAATTATTCTAGTGTTAGAACAAAGCTGTTATTACCCAAGGTCTCAGTAAACTGATAGAGGGAACCTAGGAAACAATCAAAAGGCAACCTTGAAGCTAAATGTGGTTGTATGAGCCTTGAATCTCAGCATTCTGCAAGCAGAGGCAATAGGATTCTCTGTGAGTTCCAGACAATTTAGGCTGTATAGGGAGCTCCAGGCCGGGCAGGGGGCGCCAGTGAGGCTCTGTCACAAGAATGAGTTACTTGCTCAGTTCTTTTGTTTTGTTTTTTAGTAATTCTCATTAAAAGTATCATTGTTCAAGCTGGGCAGTGGAGATGCACACTTTTAATCCCAGAACTCGAGAGGCAGAGGCAGGTGGATCTCTGTGAGTTCAAGACCAGCCTGGTCTACAAAGTGAGTTCCATGACAGCCAGGGCTACACAAAGAAACCCTGTTTTGGAAAGGGAGAGGATGAGATCAAGAGAGGGTGTATGCAAAGGGAGTGAGAGAGGGCAGGAGGGAAGGAGAGAGACTAACTATCATCTTTAATTAGAAAGAACACAAATTCCCAACTGAGTATGCTGGATTCACAGCTAATTAAGAAAAACTTACACTGTTATGAGTTATGTGTGGAAGGAAGGCTGGAGGCTTACTGAATAAATTACAAAATCCTTCAACAACAGCTTCTGATGTAGTGATTAAATATAGCAGTCAAATCATTTTTTGTCTTTTAAATTATTCATTCATTTAATATGAATTGGTGTTTTGCCTGCATGTATGTCTGTGTGCCACGTGGGTGCTTGGTTCCAGAGGAGACCAGAAAAGGCATTGGATCCCCTGAGACTACAGTCACAGGTAGTCAGGAGCTGCCAAGTGGGTGCTGGGAGTTGAACTCTGGTCCTCTGCAAGAGCAGCCAGTGCTCTTAACTACTGAGCCATCTCTCCAACCCTTCTCCTTTTGGCTTTTGTTTGTTTTGTTTTACTTTTTGAGACAAGGTTTTTTGTACAGTATTTGCTGTCCTGAAACTCTCTGTAGATCAGGCTGGCCTCCAACTCACAGCGATCCTCCTGCCTCTGCCTCCCAAGTGCTGGCGTACGCCACCACCACCCAGCTTCTCCAGTCCTTCTTATCTTAAAGCTTATCTGGGTAAAAATAATTATTTTACATATTTTGAAACTTCAAATTTTCTTATTCAGCAAGACCAAATATTCTAAGTGCACACTGTGTTCCCCATGAGCACACATTCCCTCCTAGAGGATGCCAGCTTACCTCTTAGCTATACAACTATAGGTGGTCATATAAGGGTCATGCTAGATTTGACCAGCATATGGTATTTTCCAACTTTTGAGAAATTCTGTTTCTTTTAAAAGATCACAATTTATACATGATTTCTATTATTATTATTTTACTTTATTTTATTTTTGGCTTTTTGAGACAGGGTTTCTCTACATAGCCCTGTCTGTCCTGGAACACAAGGCTGTCCTCAAACTCAGAGATTTGCCTGCCTCTGCTGATATTAAAGTCATATGTCACCATGCCTGGCCCAATGTAAATTATTTTTTTAAAATAACGTGAAGTTTAAGATATAGATAACCAAAACCTTTTTTTTTTTTTTTTTTTTTTTTTTTTTGGTTTTTCGAGACAGGGTTTCTCTGTGGCTTTGGAGGCTGTCCTGGAACTTGCTCTTGTAGACCAGGCTGGCCTCGAACTCACAGAGATCCGCCTGCCTCTGCCTCCCAAGTGCTGGGATTAAAGGCGTGGGCCACCAACGACCGGCTTTTTAAAATCTTTTGCACTAGGTTTCTTTCCAGTTAAAGCCAAAGACTCATCCCTCAGTACTCTGTCACTGGGACAGACTGTGTCAAGTCCATCACTGAGTGTGGGGGTACACAGCCCTAATCCTGATTCCATCTTTTCAGAATCACCTCCTCCCATTAATAAGAAGGAAAACTTTTCCACAGAGTTAAACACAGTGGTGCACACCTTTAATCTTAGCACTCAGGAGGCAGAGAGAGGCAGATCTCTGTGAGTTCAAGGCTAGCCTGGTTTATATAGGAAATTCCGGGACAGCCAGGGCTACAAGAGAAACCCTGTGCCAAAACACAAACAAAAATAAAACAAGCCCCCCACACACAATTTTTTTTCAGACAGGGTTTCTCTGTGGTTTTGGAGTCTGTCCTCGAAGTTGATTGCAACCAACGCCCAGCAACACACACACACAAAATTGTTGCAGAATATGTCTTTATACTGTGTGAAGATGTGTCACTGTGATTGGTTTAATAAAGAGCTGAATGGCCAATGGCTAGGCAGGAGGAGGTTAGGAAATTTATTTAACCAATCACAGTGTCACACCATCACACAACACTACTTAGAAACCTCAGCAGCTTGTTACTGTGTGATTTGAGATTTCTACCTCCTCTTCCAGCAAGACCCAGATGACATGCCACTGAGCCCCAGATGGTGTTTTCTGGAGAGAATATTGACGCCTTCTTCCCACCACAGAAGTCTTGAGATCTGATGTCACCATCTGACCTCCAAGCTCTTGAAAAAGTCACTACATCCCCCCCACCCTGCCACCCCTCGCTTCTTCAAAGAAACTCTAAGCCTTTTATGTCTATGGCCCATGACCTTGTGCCTCTGACCCTCATGTTTCTATCTAGCTCATAAGACAGATCTTTGTTTCTTATTAATGTTTAACTTTTGGTCTTTCAGGGCACATGGGTTTAGACAGATAGCTGTGAGTGATTCTAGCCTCACAACAAGGCTGTTGTTGTTATGGAGGGTAAATGGTATCAGAACAAAATAGTTACCTGAAGTTTAGAGTTCAAGTGTGAAATTACCTTTTTTTCTTCAGTTTTTCAAGACAGGGTTTCTCTGTGTGCCCCCTGGCTGCCCTGGAGCTTGTAGGCAGAGGTTTTTTTTTAATTTGGACTGCTGACCATCTCCCAAATAAACACACATAGACTCATTATTATAAATGTTCAGCCAATAGCTTTGGCTTGTTAATAACTAGCTCTAACAATTTAAATTAATCCCTATTTCTTATCTAAGTTCTTATTCTAAGTTCACAGGATTCACAACTTGTTACCTCTTTTTTTTTTTTTTTGTTTTTGAGTTTTTGAGACACAGTTTCTCTTTGTAGCTCTGCAGACCAGGTTGGCTGACTTCCTCAAACTCAGAGAGATCTGCCTGCTTCTGCCTGCCAAGTGCTGGGATTAAAGGCATGCCCCCCCCCACCATTGCTGCCACACTGCCACCACCATCCCAATAGTTATCTCATTTTCTGTACATCTTGCTTCCTCTGAGAGAGACTCCTCAAGCTCCACTGTACCTCTTCCCAGCGGCCTGCTAGTCTGGCTCTCCCATCCAACTCTTCCTGCCAGTCTTTTTCATTAACCAATGAGAGTAATGCATATTCACAGTGTACAAAGATTGTTCCACAGCATTTATTTCCCCTATTCTGTCTAATTAAAAAGGAAGGTTTTAACTTTAACATAGTAAAGTTATATACAACAAAAAGTTATCAAGTCAGAATTACTGCTACAAAATCCTGTCTATTTGTATTTGGAAAAAATTAGAGAAAAATTTATTGTCTTATCTTTAGACCTATGTAGAAAAGATTTCTGAATTGATTCTGAAAGGAAAATTAAGATTATGTCAATTAAGCCGGGCATTGGTGGCGCACGCCTTTAGTCCCAACACTCGGGAGGCAGAGGCAGGCGGATCTCTGTGAGTTCGAGACCAGCCTGGACTACCAAGCAAGTTCCAGGACAGCCTCCAAAGCCACAGAGAAACCCTGTCTCGAAAAAACAAAGAAATTGTGGTACCTTTGACTAACACTAAAATTTCCTCATTATGGACAGAAAACGAACATTGACAAAGAACCTGCAGTAATTTTTTGGGAAAGATTAGGAGCAAATATGCCAAAACCAAGACACTTCAGTTTTTGGTTTTGTTTTGTTTTGGTTTTTGGTTTTTCGAGACAGAGTTTCACTGTATTGTTTTGGAGGCTGTCCTGGAACTAGCTCCGTAGACCAGGCTGGCCTCGAACTCACAGAGATCCGCCCAAGTTTCATTCTCAGCACCCCCATGGTAGCTCACAACTGTCTGTAGCTCCAGTTCCAGGAGATCTGACACCTTCACACCAATGTACATAAAATAAATTAAA